TTGCTTGCTGTTCGTCTTCATCAGGCAACAACAAACACATTTGCTCAATAATTGAAATACAGGGTGAAGGGTAAATAATAAAATAATTATAAATTGCAAAAAAAATATATATATATTTATATATATATAGAAGGGTTTTATTTTGTACGGTTTATAAATTAAGCAATTAAAGGCTTTTTAAAATCCATTGACAAGTTTAATAAGTAAATCCCTTTTAGTTTTTTAAGATTTGGACTAATAAAATTGTTTAGCTTATCAATTGATTTAATTTAATAATTTTACTGATATATTTAACTCATAAAGCAAGCCTTAAATATTTTATAAGTATTTCAAAGTCAAAATTGTTGATTCTTTGCCTCAAAATATTAGCTCATTCCTATATTTTTAATAGAAATTATTCCCTAAAAGCCTAATTCATAACTTTACCATATTTTACAATGCAAATTTACAGCTTAATAATGTCTTTAAATAATTTAATTTTATGTCTCTAAGGAAGTAGAGTCACCCTGTAAAACCTGCGTCCTTGCTTGGCACTTCATCATCATCATTGCCATTCAGCATCCCGGCCAGAATCATTATCATCATCATTATCGTGGCGATTATTATTCGGAATGAGAGAGGGAGAGAGAGAGATGTAGCTACCTCCGCTAGCAAAGCTCAAATAATTTAATTTTCATTTGCAGTGTGTGCCTTTGCCGCCCCTCTAGTTTGTATTTTTATACACACTACACACTACACACACACAACAAACACACAAGCCCCTCACTTACCTACGCTAATGTTTAATAAATTCTCTGCCTCTCTATAGCTCTCTCTATCTCATTCTCTGTATTTTTCACCTCTCTCTCTCTCCCTCTCTCTGGCTTGCTGGCTGCCTTCAATTGGCATTTTAGTTGGCACTTTGCTGCTTGTTTCTTGTTAGTATTAATAATTTTAGTTGCTGTTGTTGTTGTTGTTGTTATTGCTGCTGATGCTGCAGCTGTTGGCATTTGATTAACGCTCATTAGCGTTCAACAACAACAACAACAACAACTCGCACATCAATTTTTAAATACAGCAATTATTTTAATATCTTTTCGCATGATAGAAAGAAAAATAGCCAAAGATTAAGAGAGAGAGAGAGAAAAAACACCGAAAGAATAGGAAAGGTTGTTCTTATTCAAAGAAAATGTATTAATTAATATAAGAACTTCAAAATTAATATTATAATTGAATGATGAATATAAGAAATAATTAAACAATATAAGAAATAAATCAATAATATAATAATAAAATAAATAATCGTATAAATAATTAAATAACCGAATAAATAAAAAGTTAATATAATAAATAAATCAATAAAACAAGAAATTAAATACATTTTGTTTAAGTAACTGAAGTAATTTAAAATCTAAATACTTTTGAATAAGTAAAGAACTTACTATAAGATTTGAAGTAAACAAAAATCAGATCTCCTAGAAATCCCATTTAATTACATAAATTTTTCTTCTCTGCACTTTCGTTTATTATTACAAGACTTCTATTAATAATTTTGTACTTGCAAAATTCTGTACGTTGCACAGATATACATATATATATAGGAGAGAGAGATGTGCCACTTAAGCTGATAACTGGGTAATATGGGGCACACATTACTCATACGCAGCGTGCGCCAAACTCAACAGAACAGAGCTCTGATTTCACATTTCGCCCAAACAGTGCAACCTCCCACAGAGTGTCGCCGCCTTTAATGCATTGACCGTTGTGACTGACTGACTGACTGACTGACTGACTGACTGACTGACTGATAGAGTGACTGATTGACTGACCGACTGACTGACTGACTGACTAAAGCAAGCGATTGTAGTGACTATAGAACGCTCCCCGTGGCTGACTGCCTCGTAAACAAAAGAGCTCCTTCGGTCGAATGCCTCAACATTTGGGAATAAACACTCGTCGGGGATGATGAGAGTGCAGTTGGAGATTTATGGGATTTGTGCAATCAAACAGTTTCTAAACACATTTCATATGAGCTGCCTTGAGATAGAGAGAGATAGACTGCGATTTAGTCTGGACGAGAACAGCTTGAGATGATCATTAAAATGGGACTTAATAAAACGAGTTCTCTTGAGTAAAACAGATTTTTTCAGTATTTCTTAGGGGAATTATAAGAAATATATCTGAGTATAATATATCGGACTCATCGTTCTTATAAAATATTAAATATTCCCCTTAAGTTAAGGTACTTTTCCTGGTTCACTTTCGTTTAATTTGGGGTTTATTTGGGAGCTTTTTTGACTTGACTTCAAATTTATTTGGGCTTGTGTTTTTTTTAAATATATTTTTCTGTTTAATATCAGGTTTATTTAGGGTTAATTTACGTTAATTCCAATTTTATTTAAATTTTATTTGGTTGCCTATTGGCTTCTTCCTTATTGGGGCCGTATCATGGAAGACTGCACTTTGGGTACTTGCAGCCTCCTGATATTAAAGCACTTAATTTGCATTTCACTTTTGGCTCGGCACAGAGCTACCTCCCTCTCCTTCTGGCATTTCCATTTCCATTTCCATGCCGCACATCGTGCTATAAAAATGTCTATTTTTTTCACTGCTCCTGGGTGTGAATGACAAATCTGCAATGTGCAATGCATTTTCATATATATATCTACATACTCGTATGTATATATATATCTATAACTGAGTATATAAAAGTGAGCCGCTTGCACATGTGAGCAGTATATATATATATATATATATATATTAAGGCTAAAATTATGTGCCCGCAATCACGATGGCTCTTCTCACACACTCTCAACGCACACTTACACTGAGAAAAGATATATGAGATTCTTGCAGGAATTGTAATAAATTAAATAAATATGTTAAAGATATATGCTTGCTTGTGTAATTGTACTTGTAAAAGGGATTATGTTACGGAATCTTCTATTAAGTCTAATATTTTACTAAAATTGTCTTGAATAGATTTAAAATTTCTTTTAAACACATTTATTTATATATTAATTTATTAATATAAACAAATAGTTTTTGCATTTATTTGAAACTGTGATTATTTTATTTTAATTCTAGAGTGATAGATACTACTAAGATATAATACTTTACTGAAATACTTCGAAGAACTTTCAAAAGAAATCCTAAATATATGTGTCGAAGTGCTCGATAATTTAATATTAAGTTTAACATTGTATGCTAAGCTTAATTTGTTAAATAAATAAATAAATTAATTAATTAATAGGTTAAGAACCATACATTTTCTCCCTGTTTAGGAATCATATTCCGGCACTAACAACACACATTTCTAGTCCGGGCAATTGAGGACTGGGACTGAGGCAGAGCAAATTTAATGCACGGGAAAAATGTATTTTATTTAGTTGAAGCTGAGGCATTCCCTTGGCTGAGCCATATTTTATGGGTTTTTCGTTTTTCCTTATATTTTTTTTTCTCCTACACTATTTTCTTTTTTTTTTTGTGTGCCAGCTTTTCTTGGGTGTCACGCTGCGTATGAATAATGTGAGCGGGAATGTTACGTATACGCCCGGTGCGACGCCACTGCATGTGGCAACTAGAGAAAGAGAGAGGGAGAGAGTGTGCGAAGACTAGAGAAAGAGAGAGTGAGCGAAGCCTAGAGAAAGAGAGAGTGAGAAAGCTAGAGAAAGAGAGAGTGAGCAAGAACTAGAGAAAGAGATGGAGAGTTCCCCTTGATTGACTTCTGTCAGCAATTATTTCGTTTTATTTATTTTCCCTAGATTTTCATTATTTTTTTTTCGGTTAAGTTTTCCTTGGCACTTGGGGACAGGAAATAGGAAATGTTTTTCATATTTAAATTGGCTTGGCCTGCACTCTCAATACTATAATTTATTTATTTATTTTGTTATTCTTGTTGTTTGTGTTACCCAAAAGCGTCATTCGGTGTGCGAAATTCCTATTCCCCAGGTCAAAATTTGAAATTTGGTCTGCAACTCGTGACCATCAAAGACAAATTGAAGTGACTCAACAAATAATACCAGCATGTGAGCATTATGCACAGACAGATGACTCAAGTCTACATATTTGGGGTTTTTTTGGTATAGGGAAAATATGGAAAGTTCAGAGTTCAGTGAACTGACGACAATGGAGCACGTGGCAGAGCCATTGTTCTGAATGGTATTTTTAATTTTCCTAAAAGGCTTTTGCATTACTTTTTGAAATTTATTAATTCACGAAATGTGATTAATTTCAAAAAGTATATGTACTCAAGTATCTGTGAAAATGCAGTTCAATCACTGCTGCTACTAAGGGTGAACGGTGGATTAAATATTTAAGTTAGGTGTTCATATTATTATTATTCTGTTTATATTTACTTTGATTAATTATTGCATCTAGTTTAGATTTATTTTATTTAAATATTTTATTCCATTTAGATTTATTTAAAGGTGTCACCGAAATATATATACAAAAGATTCCTAGAATCTAAAAATATATAGTTTGACAGGGATAGACACTTTCTTTGAATATCTAAAATTTGAATTATGAATTCTCAATAATAAAAACTAAAAAAATTGTCATACATTACCGTAGTTCTTATTGCTTAAAAATAAAGTTTATAGTTATAAATAAACTCTTTTTAAATGGTATATAAACCCAACCACAAATGCAATATGAACCATGCAACGAAATGAAATTTGCTTAAATAAATATTTCAAGATAGAAAGAATCAAAAACAATATCGAACGAGTGAATAAAATAGCTTCTAAGTTCCCAATAAAATGTGGAATAATTATCCTCAAAAATAATCCATAATTTTGTGGTGCCAAAAAGAAAAAGTTAAACAATAAAAAGGACAGCATGCAGGACGACAAACACAAGGGACAGAGACAAGGACAACAAAACATACAACAAACATCAAATGCAAAGGCAGGCAAGACATAACACTTGAGATAGATAGATAGATAGAAAGAGACAGAGAGAGAGAAAGAAAGAGAGAGAGAGACAGACGATATAGGTGGGTCTCTCGGCATACGTACGATCGGTCAACGAGTATAGAGGCTTCCTGTTCTTTAAACCTGGAAAAAGGGTTACAATCTTAATAAACAACGATAATACAGACAACAATTATTAGGGAAAATCTCCAAGTTAGAGGGGGGAATTATAGGGGGTATTTTAAAAAGGGAAAATAGTGGGAAATATTAAGAAATATATAGAGGGAAAAGAAGTAGCTAACAAAGAACACTGGGTAAAGGGCAACATTAGGATAATCAAACATAAAAATATAAAAGAAGTAACTAATAAAAGCAAAATCAAATCCATATTTCAATTTATATTTATTTAAATAATATTTCCTTGCTTAATTTTCCCCAGTGCATTTTCCCCCCAAAGAGCTTAATTGATGCGTCACGTGCCAAATGCTAAGTGAATGTGTCCAGCTGGTGGGAAAATTGGAAAATGGGGCGGACTGGCCACTGGAAAGGGGCTCGGATTCGGGCACCTCCTTCTCCTCGGTCCCCCCTTTCCACAGTTTGACTTTCGCTGACGCAGACAATGACCCCGCCACATAGATCAGTGACGTCATTCCTGCGCCATACGTCACAACAAGAAAACAAACAAACAAACAATCAGACAGAGAAGGAGAAAAAGAAGGGGAAACTGACAGACACAGAGGCAAAGAGAGAGACAGAAAGACGGAGCGACAGAGACAGCGTATCTGGCTGCACAAAAAGTCGAAGTTGAAGTGTTGACATTTAAGGACATGGCCGAGAAGCAAACCAAACCCTTTTCCCTTCTACCACCTCTGGCATTTCCCACCCATCCATTTGTGTCTCCTGCATTTGCAACTCTGTGGAAATGTCATTGAGCAGAAAGAACAAAAAAATAAACAGAAAAGAAAACAAAGGCTGAGTAGGGTACAAAAAATAGGTAATGGCTGGCACTTTACATAACTTCAGATTAGCTAATCGGATCATAGAAAAGTCCTATAAATGTAATTTTAGTCATTTTCTAAAGCTTAAGCTTACTAGTTAATAAAACTGCTTATTAGTCTTATTAATTTAAATGTGTTTTAAGCTCACGCTAAGGCTTTTCAATTGTTATATATATTCTATACTGATTTCGCAAATAAGTTCAATTTTTAGCCCCATTAAGCTATTAACTCTGAAATTATTAAAGCATTTCTTCAAATTTTAACCATTTCTAAAAGTACCTATTAAGAGTAAATTCTCATTTAATTTAAGAGCTACTTGTTGTAACCTATCTCATTCAAATCTAACTTCATTCAAATGCAGTTAGCAAATGGTTTTTCACTTTATCTAAGCCAACCTCAATTCATTTACGTTTTCCTTTGGCATTTCGGTTTCCCCACACGCCAGTTAACCCCTCTTAACCCCCAAGTTAACCCACGTTAACCCACAAAAAACTGATGCAGTTTTGAGGCAAAGTTGAGGCAAAACTTAACCCAAATTCCAAATCTAAATCCCAACTAAAGAAGAAGACGAAGCCGGGGTAACTCAATTAAAAGGATTCCTCCCAAAACCTCTATTCGTATTCCGATTCCAATTCTGTTGCTTTCAGTTTTGGAATTAATGGCGACACACAACAACTTGCAGCAACAATTTCAACTTTCCCCCTTCGAAGATGAATTGCAAAGGCATTTGCATGGCTCTCCAGGGGGGTAATGGGGAAAGGGGAAAAGGTAGATGGGACTTTCAGGTAGACAAAACTTTATCGAGGCGACACCTGACACAGTTTTGCGGTTAAATTAATGCCCAGGGCCCAAAGTTGACGACAGAAGGAAGGGAGGATTTCGATTCGCTTCTGTGCCAAGAGCCTGAGGATTAGGATTTGTTTCAATTCCCGGTAAGACGAATGGCCAGGATTTCTTCACTGCGAAGAAAACTGTGGCCAAGAAGGTGGGAAAAGATAATCAAAGTTGGAAACTATAAAATGTACAAATATTTGCATCTACTACTACTTTTAAAAGCTAACTTTAATTGGGTTGACTTTTGAGTATGTCTTGGAAAACTGTGCATCAATATCCTTTACTTTGATTTATTGAATTATTTAATATCGAAACTTATAGATTTTAATGCTAAAATATATAATATTAGAGTGATTTCAAAACATCATTTTGAATTTCATAATTTTACTTTACTATTATTAATTTTCCCCTTGTTCTTCTTCAAACACTATATATATTTTCCAATTCTATAATTTATATATATGTAAATACTTTCCTCTCAGTGTAGTCATCTTTCTCATTTCGGAAATACTATCCCAAGTATGTTTCTTCTTTCTTTCGACATTTTTTTTTCGACAAAAACATTCCACTTAACTGCATCTATTATTTGTTGTTATGATTATTTTCTCGTTTTGCTGTCCGAAAATGTGAGAAGGAACATCCCCCGAAAACAAAATATTATGACTAATTGTGAGTTGTTTTGCTCAAATGACGACCTTGACATTTACACACCGGGAATGGGGGAGGAGGTGTTGGGTGTTGTGTGTTTCTTGGTATGTGAAACAGCCTCGGACAGTTGGCTAATTATTTGTTATTGGTGTTGAAATCTTTATGATTTCTTCACGACTCAACCCAAGAAACAGGGTCGTCAATCAATGTGATGGATATATTAGGGATGGCAAAACAATCGGTATTGCCGATAATATATATCGAGCTGTGCTTGGTCTATCGATATGTTTATTAAGATATAAAGAAAATCTATCGGTATTTGCTTTGCCTTTATAGCATTAAGCATTAAGTAGTTATTTATTTATTATAATTGGTTTTCTTTTATAAAAGTATTCTTTCAATATATAATATTTGATTCTCCCTTTCGATATACTACATTCCTAATTTACTCCCCATACCCCCTGATGTGTGTGTGTGCGAGTGTGAGTGTTTGTAATTGACAGCTCATCAAGAACATTGTTTGAAAGTGGCAGGCCCCAAAGAAATATTCCAACTTGATTGAAAGCAAACGCAGCGTGCGCTGAAAGGTAAAGATTTCTTTTCGTCTTGATACCCTTTTTAAAGGGTATTTTGGTTTAAGAAGTTGGCCAAAAAACAAAATCTATTTAAATAAGTTTGTGCTGAAACTAGTCTTTCAGTTTAAAAACTATCTGAATAAAAGTGTCCCTCTACTATTCTTTTTGTTAATTTATAAAATCTAGTATATATAACATATATTATTATAATATTATATTACAATTGTAATCTATTATCATATTTTAACTGTTCCCATAGTTTTATTATAATTAAAGTCATATTAATATATATTATAGTTATATCTTACAGTCAGAGTCAGAGTATCCCCAGATCGGATTCCTTCTTTCTTATTTTCTTTTTTTTTCGATGCCCCAAATGGAGGTGGAAATTTTTGGGGGTGGGGAAAAGTGGCAGGCCGAAAAACTTTGAAGGCAGACAAAAGTTTTCACCGAACAAATGCAAATTGCGTTGCTGTCGCCTGCCAAAAACATTTGACCGTAAAGGGAGCCCTCGATACAACAACAGCAACAGCAACAAAAAGACAAAAACAAATATAAAAAAAATACCAAAAAAAAAAAAAACATAAGAAAAACTACAACACCTGAGCAGAGTTAAAATAACAATTAAAAAAAGGAAAAGAAAGTACTTAGATGGCCAAAATAAATTGGTAAACCATAACCATTATTGGTAAATAAAAGTTCCGGGACCTAATACAAAAACTACATATTTCTTTGGTAATATAATTAATTTATAGCTTAAAATTGAAATAATTGAAATAATTTTTAAGCTTATAAATAATAAAAATACTAAATAAAACCCAAAACCTTAAAATAATGTTTAATTTAAGTTAAAAATAGGGTTAACGGCTTTGCTTTAATATTAATGTAAAGAAAAGGTTATGTCTACCTTTTATTATATTTTTATATTCTTTAAATGTTTCATTGATGCATTTTTAAAGCCCAAAAGTATGAAAAAATACATCTAAAAACTGTAAGTATTAAAAAATTGCTTAGAAATTGAAATCGTTTGGATTAAAACAACACAAGTCTTTTGTATTTGACCACCTTTAATTATTCTATTAATAAATCACTTCCTGTGATTGCATTTTCCCACCTTTTCAAAAGTCATCTAAAATCTGCGCTATTTCCGTTGTTCAATTTTCAATCTCAATCTCAAGTGCCAAATAATTTTAGTGGATTTTCCTTCTTTTTGGCCATATATATTTTGCGAAAAACCAATAATTTGCGATCTAGATTTTTTCAAAAGAAAAACGAGGAAAGTAGGAGCAGCTCACTTTTGGCGCTGTAAAAATAGCTGTAAAAATGTAAATATTTTCCCAGCCGCCAGCCCACTCTTTCCCCTTGCTTTTCCTATGCCACATTCTGCAATTTTCCCACCCACTTTTCGCATGTACATATACATATGTATATATATTTCCATCTTTTGATGGTGATCATCATCATCAGCACAGAGCCTCCTCCTTCTCCTCCTTCGACATTATTGCAACTGCATGTGTAATTAGGTGTTATTGTTTTTGTGCATAATATGCCTGTAGGTATATATGTGTGTGTGTGTGTGTATGATGGCCTCATTGCAGTTGCCAAAGTGCACAGAAAAGAAAAGAAAAACTAAAAAAAATATTCGGCCAAAATGGTGGATGCAAAAAGGGGGGGCGTGTGTGTGAGTGTGTGAGTGTGTGGATGCACTCAAAAACACAGCAGCCGAGAGGCTTGCCAAAAATGAAAAAATAAACTCACCGCACCGAGAGAAATATAAACACAAAAACAAGAAGGAAAATCCAAGGAAAATAGAAAAAGAAAAACTAGAAAAAATCAGCATTTCCGCCCTCAGTGTTGCATAACGGGTTTTTTTTTTTGTTCATGCATGTGTAATGAGGGGTTTTTTTTGAAAAGGGGTTTGAATTTCCATTGGGGGCGGGGTTTTCAGCTTTCCCTGACTAACTAATTGAAGTTGAGGCCTTAGGCCGTAGGAAACTATGCCGAGCATATGGTAAAGGAGCACTGGGAAAAGATACTTTTAACTAGGTATGGATAAATATCGAAAGGAAAAGTCTGATATGATATATCAATAAATATATTGCATATTACATAAAAAAATTATTGTAAACTTTAATTTATTATAATTTTAAATTCAGAAAATTTTATTTATTGCTTTTAGCATCAAAATATTAATATTATTAATAAATATCAGAAAACAAATTACCAATTTTATTTATCTCCTTTCCCGATTATATTGTATCAATATATTCAAGAGAATATCAATTAACCTTATTATGTGTTTATAGAACTTCACTTTAAATATGGATATAATATAGATTCGGTATTCACCAGACTCTTATTTATTTCTATCCCCATTTAAATATTACTCTTATTTAACTCTTTATATCTAATTCGACTTCCACACCAATTTCCTGATATTTTGTAATCAAATTCCACACCTCAAAGAACTGATAAATCTAGCATTCAAATTAACTAAAAGGTTTCAAGTTGGCAATTGCCTTAAAATGATTTTTCCATAGTGCAGCAGAGAGCTCTGTATATAAATTCTGTACAACGGGGGAAAACGGGAAACCAAGAAGTGTGAGGAAGGAGGAGGAGGAGTAGGAAGTGGGTGGGCTGGAAAAACTGAAGTGAAATGCAAAGGGGGAAAAGTGGTTGCACTGAAACCACAGTAAGCCTCCAGCAAAGTCACAGCAATCCCATGGCAGAGTGACAAAGAGCACAAAGAGACGAGAGGGAAACAGAGGAAAAGCCCCAACGAGCAGAGGGAAGCCTAGAGAAAGTGAGAGAGAGAGGGAGAGAGAGGGAGAGAGAGAGGAAGAGAGATAGAGAGGGAGAGATGCCAGTAAAGTTGTTGCACTTTTCGCATGTGTGCCTCCGGAATTTAGTCTTTTCCACTTTCTCACTTTTCCCCCACCAAAAGATCCTGCCAAATGTCTTGCTAAATTCCTTAAAGCGAAACGCCAACTTGAAGAGATTAAATGCATAATAAATTAAGTAAATTAATCATTTAGAAATGATTAAGATAGGAAATAAAATGTTTTAAATTATATTTAGCCCAAAAAAGGAATTTTCAGGAATTTGTTTTCTGACTTTTATTCTCACATATATGTCTAAAATTGTATTTTAATAAATGTATTCCCTAAAGTAACCAATTAATAATTATTAACTAAACAAACTAAAAATTAACTAGTTTTATAAGAGCAGAGGATTGAAAGATACTTTTCTGTAAAAATAAATAAAACAGGAAAGGAAATTAACTTTGGGAAGCCAGAGTTTATATACCCTTGCAGTTTGCAAATGAATTATTGAATAAAATCGAAAATAAAAAATAACTAAGCTTAAAATATTCGAATTCTTTGAACATATATTTATCAATATTTTTATAGGACAATTTATATCGAAAAATCAAAACTTAAAAACCCCACAACTTAGCCAAAAATGCATTAATTTCAATTCGGAAATCGTTCCTAAGCTAGTTGTTATAAGGTTAATAAATCTGCATACTCAATTTAAAATTAAAAAAAATTCAAAATTTTATCAATTTTTGACAATTTTATTTTTATTTTATTTTATTTTGTACACTGTAGGCAGAAGTTACAAACTTAGGCTACAGGGATCGGCCATAACAGCGGAGATTTTCGGCCGGAATAAGGTTTACATGATTTGGTTAAATAAATATAGAGGGATCTTATAAATGTATTAACAGTTAATTGTACATGGATTATTTACAAGTAACAAATGACAGATATTTTATGAGGAAAGTGATTGGTTTATATACGGTGTAAAAGATTTGCTGATTTGAGGAAATTAAGAATTAATTGGATGTTTGCAAAATTAGGGTTGAATAAGTGATCAGTAAGTTTGATGTTTGGGAAGTTTGATCTATGTGTTTGAAGTGCTGGACAGTCGTTAAGGATATGGGAGATTGATATTTTTTCGTTGTTACAGAGCTGGCACTGATCGTTTGGTGGTTGTGAAAAGCGATGTTCGTGGGTGAGCCTGGTGTGGCCGAGTCGAAGACGGATTATTTTGGTGACAATTTTAACGATGTAACCCCCTATTAAAATTTACAAAAAATTGTCAAAAAAATTTTGTATGCCTGAGATGGCTGGATCGATTCCCCACTTGATGCTGATCAAGAATATATATTATTTATAGGGTCGGAAATGATTCCTTCACTACCTTATAAGCTTTCAACTAAAATGATAATACCCTGCAAGGGTATAAAAATAACCCATAGCACATAGACCCCAAGAATAGAAGAGTAAGAGAATAGTAGACACATCAAAGGGAAGAAAATAGTATAGCAAAAATGAGTTAAAGATAGTTTCAGAAAAAACACCACAAAGGAAACAACATTAATTGTACTCAAAGAAGTGTTTCCCCCATAAAAAAAGAGGAAAAGTAAAGAAAATGTCACAACAAAGGCAAATAGGAATAGGAAAAGCCATTGGCCATCTGGGCAAACATGAAAAAGGTGTTGAAAATGTCTCAGCATAACCATTAACCGAATGGATAGGTGACATTCCGAAAAATCAAATCAAAACCAAAACTAAAACAAATCGAAAGAGGGTTTTTTTGGGGCAAAGAAGAATCAAACTTATATATAATAATGAACTATTTTTTGAAAAAGGGGTAAAAAAAAGAGAGTTTTGAAATCAATTTAAACTTACCTTTCGCTAGCGATGCTTGAGTTTCGGGACATGGACTTGGGTGACATCTCAAAATCGGAATCGGAACGATATAGAAACGATTCGCGACGCTGCGGTAAATTCTGTAGAACCAAACCGGCGCTGGGAGAGCCGCCCTCGAGCGGAGATCGAGCGCCCTGGCCATTTTCTACATCGAAACTGTAATAGAAATATGTAAAAAGATATAGAAATTAGATACGATTTTCATGGGAATTTTCTTTAAAATTTTCTTGAGAATTTTCTTTGGTAAATTTTGAATTTTAATGGATATATCAATGTCAAATATAAGACCCAGCTCTTGCCATAAAATCCCAAATTGATGTGTACATACAATTTTGCACCCCTCAACTCTGACCCTTTTATATATTAAGTACTTAGGCTGTGTTAAATAATCCAACGAAATTAGCTGTCAAATTATCTGGTTAGCTCTCTCAAAGGAAATGGGAAAAAGGGCAAAAAGAAAAGTCAAGGGAAAGAAGATCCCTGAAAAATATGAAGGCAATGCCACCGGAAACGGAAGCACGCCTAACAAGGCGCTTTTAAAGTTTCATTTCGTTAGACATTTTCCGCGTTTGCCCTTTTTTTTCTGCCTAACAGCCTGCCAGAGCTCGCTCGGTTGTCTGCGGCCAAAAGTTTTTCTGGCTGGGAAAATTCTTGTAACAAGTAACAAAAAAAAAAAAATAAAAAAAATAAGGAAAAAGAAAAGAAACATGCGAAAGCAAAAGTCACTCTGCTACCCAACGAAAATGTGAAAGGAAAGTTTAGTCAATTGCAGACCAGAGTTTTTGGGGAGTTACTAAAAAATACAAGGAAATATATATATATATAAAATATATATATGTATATATGTTTTAAGATGAAACTTTCATAAAACTGCCAGCTCATCTTGGGCACTTCACTTTATCGCTGGTTGGGCTTATGCTTCTTGACCTTTAAACCTTTAATCAGCTTTTTGAAGACGCCACTAGAGTTTCTCTCGAGAGTTCCTAAGTTTTGTATAGTTTTTTTTATTTTAATTAATTGTTTAAACATGAAATTTTTAATTTAAATTATAAGATATACATAAGAAGAGATAAATTGGGTTTTCAGTTGAAAATATTGATAAATAAAATAATCTTCTTATAAAAATAATCAAATCTTATTATAGAATAGAATTAATAATTTGTATAGAAATATATATGTACGAAATACAGCGAATAGAGCCCTAGAATTATTAAAAATATATTTTCTGATAAAAATAGAGCCTCCATTGCGTATTTTTTATGTTCCACAATACATAATTTAAATTTCTTAGTTAGTCAAAGTATTCTTGTAATCTATACATTGGATAGACGTTAAATATTCCAAATTTAAATAAATATTTATAGAAATATGAAAGAAGAAAAAAAGAATATAAACTTGGTGCTCAACAGAAAATATTTATAAACAATTATAATTATAATAATTTAATAGCTTCCAAATACAATTATTCATTTTTATGGAAATATTAATACGAACAACAGAGAATAAACTTGATTTCGAGTTAACAACACCCAGGAAAAATGCCTGAAAATTATTTAACATTTATTATATCTTAATTTAGGGTCTCCTTTTCTGTGTTTTCCTATATTTCATAATTATTTCTTGCCGTGTAGCCATGGTTCATTGACACAGCTTTGTTAGTGGCATTCGAATTTCCAGTTTCGTTTCCTAATAGGACAAATGGAAACGCTTGGCCAAGACACTTGCCACAACTTTCTTGCACAACACACACACACACACATAGAGCGGAAAACCCTCACTCCCACTCCTGGCCAAGCCCCCATTTCAACGTCCAGTTTCGCCTTGAAAGGCTGGTGGGGCGAAAGTCGTAAAGAAAAATGATGTTTTAAGTAAAATTTATATCGGGGTCATTAAGTAAACTTGGCACAAAGTTGTTGCCGCTTGTTGCTACTGTTTTTGTTTTTTTTTTTTCGAGGGTGGTGAAAATGTGGTGGTGGGGGGTGGGTGGAAAGGAAAATGGGGTTGGGGTGAGCAACAATGTCGCCAGTTTCCCTGGCATACTTTGTGGCGCTTTTCAGCAAAAGTTATGGCAACAGCAGCGGCGGCAAACAGTTTTTAGTTGGGTTTCAGTTTTCAGTTTTCGGGTATACATTTTCCCCCGCTTTCCTCTCCGATTTTCCTGTATATATTTGCTGCTTTTCTCTGTTTTTCTGTATTTTTAATGGTGTTATGGACACTCTTTGGAGCTGTCTTTTTATTTATTTTCTCTATATTTTTTTCAAAACAAATGAGAATGCAAAATGGGAAAATTCTACTTTGTTGATTTGGTTTTCAACTTAGTTGTGTCTTTTTTTTATTATTGGGAAACGCAGAGATACATTTTAATGGATGTATTTCTGTTTTAAGCTTTATGAAATGAATGGAAAATGGGTTTTCCCTTTGATTTAATATGATTGAGTAACAGAAATGCATTTAAAGGAACATAAAACATAAATAAATGATAATTATTCGTGAAATAGATTGATTTTTAAAATGGGAAAACTTTAAAATACATACAATTTATCATATTATCCTGTTAACCTTATTTTTTTTAGTTTCTTGTATTATTTTTTTTGTGTTTTTTGCAGCCTCCTTTATATTTATTATCCTCCTTTTCCTCCTCAATATTTACTTAGTTATTTTGTGATGCACTCATGCATTCATTTGTTCGCTGAATGCCGCATTCATTCCCTTCAAAGTCACAGAATACTTGGCGCCTGCTTATCCTGACATCCCAAGGACCTGTCTTAACACTCACAAAAAAAAAAAAAATACAACAAAAAACTAAATAAAGAGGACAAAAAACAACACTCAAACTCATAAAGCGTCAGAAGCAGGGCTCAAAACAAAGCAAGGCAAAAAAAGACAAAAAAAACGGCAGCAAACAAGCATAAAAAGTGTGAAGGAAAAGAAAGGAAAAATAGAAACAAAAGATAAGCGAGGAGGACAATAATTTTCCGAGTGTCCACTAAGCGAAAGGAGGGGGTGGAGCGGTGGAAAATCGCCACAAAATTCGCCAAAAATGCAGCGAAAAAGTGTGCAACAGCAACAACAGCACGGAATTCAATTGAACAGAGGGGTGAAAAAGGGTTTAAAAAGAGGGCGAACAGGGGTTAAGAGTGGGTTAAGGAGAAGCAGGGGTTAAGCTGAGGAGTTCGAGGAAGCACCAAATGCCACTCAACTTTGAGCCACATAGAGACACATGCCTGGCATAGCCACACACATGGCTTATTCTCTTAAATACTCTGCGGAGTCCTTGGCTATTACAAAATATAAATATCTGAATAATCTGGAGATATACTGAATGCATGAGCTATAAAATAAATAAAGAATACTAAATACTACATACACTTTACATTAACTTTCGGTTAATTTAAATAGTACAACTCTCAGTTCTCTTTAAACTCTTTTGTTTTATTGATCCTTAATTAATCCTTTTAATGTGTAATCTTTTTAGGTTTCCTGAGTTTTAAATATATTTTTAAAATGTATATTGAATACATGTTTTTAACTGAGAAATAGATCCGACAGTGCCCAACACCTCAGGCCACCCCAGCTACTATATTTTTAACGAAATATAGAATAGTATACAAGATACTATAAACATTTATTTTAACTTTTTTTTCAATTTTCTCTTTAAACTCTTTGATTTTCTTTACAAATCCTTGAAGTAATATATTTTTATTAGCTTGTTTTGTAAACTTTTGCAATGTTTTAACTATATATTTTTGATATATATAATTTAAGAAATGCTTGTAATTAAATATTGAATAAATACTTTGTGGTTTAATTTAAGTACAACTTTCAATATACTCTGTAAACTCTTTTGTTTTCTTTATGTTTTATAAATCCTTTAAGTATTTATTATTATATATATTCTATATATATTCAATAGATTGTAATATATATATTATATTTTCAATTAATCACATAATAGATATTATACAATATATTTTATTTTATTTAATTTAGAAGATTCCCCATCATTTCCTCTCCCTATCCTTTATTATTTCTAGTTGCATACTTGCAGGGGCTCCCCAGAACGCAATTACGTGGCCCAAAAGGGAAAGCGGGTTGGAGCCTAAAGAGGGGAGTGTTGGTGTGTGTCTGTGTGTGTGTTTGAGTGTGCTGCAGGGGGTTCCCCTTCGCTTAAGCTGTGACGTGCTTTAAGCCACACAGTCGCACTCAAGCCAAAGCTCAAGCCGGATGAAGGCGAAAGTAGCTGCTGGCTGACTGGCTGCCTGCCTGGAAGATTGGCATTGTTGTGAAAAGGGACGATAGAGGGAAATGGGAAGAGGGGGAAGAGCGGGGAAGAGGGGGAAAGGATAAGAAGCACAGCCAGGATATGAAGCAAGAAGGAGCCAGGGGAATCGGGAGGGATAAATGTGGAAACGGAAGTGTGCCCGACGGCAGCTCTTCATGCGCCTAATTATATGTGCAAATAAATGAACGACGCATGCTGATTGCATGTGTGTGTGTGTGAGCGAGTCAGTGCTGTGTTTCAGATTGTGTGTGTGACAGTACACTGAGAGAATAATATATATATTTCACAAATTAAATAGGAAATCTATAATGCATGGTACTTCCATAAAATTACAATTAAGCAAAGGTTTATTTTAAGTATTTTCATTAAGGTTTTTAGGTTTATACAAATCCTAAACAATATTGATTTTTAATTACAAATTAAATATAAAAATATGTAAAATACTCAAATTACCAATTTGTATTTATCTTTTTTTAATTATTACCATCATCCTATTTAGTTTTCTTTAAGCACAGACAATTTTAATAGCTTTAAAAACAATATAATAAATATCCAAATATGAAAACTGAACTTCATTTAACAAATGAAATTTCCTCCGTGTATGTATTGTGTGTGTGTTTTGCGTGTGTATTGTGTGTATTTAACCCAAGTGTTTTTACTTGCCTTGCCTTTCATTTTCCCCATCAACTTTTTACCGAAAGAGAGCGCTAAGCTCAACGCCCAACTTAATTAGTTTGTTAAACTCGCAACTCACACACTTATATCCACACCCACACACACACACTCAGAGTCAGACTTACACGCCCCCACATACTTAATGAGTGTCTGCGGGTGTTGAGTGTGTGTGTTCCTTTGGCAGGGAAATTCCATTGAAAAGCTGGCACAACAAAGGGCAAATTTCAGGTATTTTGTAAACTAAAAATTTAAGCTGCAAGTTTAACCTCAATTAAGGGATCGATTAAGTTGTCAAAAGAGCTTTTAATTATTAAGTTGATCTTAAATACAGATGTTTCTTTAAAAGATTGTGAGATAAATTATTGTACTTTTCATAAAATAATTTATATTCCGATTATATAAATGGGATAAAAACAAATATTAATGGGTTAGTGTTATGAAATCATTCAGGTTTTTGAAAACCTTAAAAAGGCGCTTCAAAATAATTATAGAAAATTATTATAGATTATTATAGATATATTATTATATTAAAAACCTAACTAAAATTCCTTTTAAAAAGCAAACAATTCTTGGAACTCTTCTTGAAATATCTTCAGTCTTTCTCAGACTCACAGACACTTTCACAATTTGAGGGCAAAGTGGTAAGTGGCCTCCCATATGCATATATATGCCCCCCCCCATGCGGTTAATTTAAGGACCTTGAAGCAAAATGGAAACCCAAAAAGAATTTGAAAATAGAAAAGTGAAAAACCGAGAAAATATAAACCAAAAAAAATCCAAAGCACAACGAAGCTCAAGACCATGAATCCAAATCAAAGTGCAAAACCGAAAGGCAAATGCTGCCGATTGCAACTCAGAGTGTGTGTGTGTGTTCGGTGTGTGGGTTCGGTGTGTGTGTATATTTGTGTGTGCTTGCAACCAAAGATGAAGGCGAAGCATCGCCAAAGGGGGAGTTGGGAGAGAGAAGAAAAAACATGAAAACTGTCACAAGGCCATTAACAAAAGCCTGAGACTGACTGCCACACGGCCTGATGCAACATGGGCGGCAAAGTCGAGGGGTGGAGGCGTGGCAAAAAAAAAAAAAAACCAAATTAAAATTGCGAGCCGGAATGAAATGGGCACAGCCGCCAGCATCGCCCTCATCGAAAAAACCAGCCCAACCACCCTACTTTAGTGGGTGATGCCACCTTTGCTAAGTACATAGCAAAAAAAACTAAATAAAAATACAAAACGTATGTTCCAGAAAAAAAAATATTATCAAAGTGTAAAAAACTCATAACTCAGTCAAAAAAGCATTAAATTTAAATCGGAAACTTGTCCCATGTTGGTTTTTGTTAGCTTAACCAATCTGCATACTCCATACAAAATTTAATTTTTTTGTCAATTTTTGAAAATTATAAATTATAAAATTTTGAACATTTTTGAAAAAATTAAATTTTTGTAGGTCATGGCTAGAAAGATTCGCCTGTTGATGCTGATCAAGAATATATATACTTTATAGGGTGGGAAATGATTCCTTCACTAAGTTGTATGCTTCTGACTGAAATTATAATATCAGGCAAGGGAATTATTGATTATTAGATTGTTTGTGTAAACTTAACAATTTAAAAAAAATATTTTAATAATTCAAAATTGAAAATACGAACCAGAAAAGGGAACTAACTGCGGAAAGCCAAAGATTGTAAGTTATTGTTATAGAAGTTATTGTATAGAATCGAAAATCGATAATAACTAAGCTTTAAATATTCACATTCTTTGGATCTATATTTATTAATATTTTTATATGTAAATTTTATCGTAAAATCAAATCTTAAATATCCCATAACTCAGTCAAAAAAGCATTAATTTCCATTCGGAAAGCTTTCCCATGTTCGTTTTTTTTAGGTTAATAAATCTGCATACTCCATAAAAAATTTTTGTGGGACATGGCTAGATCGATTCGGTTTTTTATGCTGATCAAGAATATATATACTTTATAGGGTCGGAAATGATTTCTTCATAGTGTTTTAAGCTTCTGACTAAATTTATAATACCCTGGAAGGGTATATTATCCTAAATATAACTTACAAAATTATCTTGGAATTTTTGTAAGCCACAGATGACAAATTTCAACTTTTATGTTTCTTTTTAAATTATTCTAATAAACTGATATATTTGTATACAATTTTTAATTATATATATTTATATAATATAGTTAACTATTTATTCTTGTAACCCAAAAGAATACTTTCCACTTTTTCGCCCTGTGTATGCGTCTCTATTTTTTTTTTTCAGCTCTAAAGACAAGGTGAACTGTGGGATTCTGTGCATGTGCATGTTGCATAATTTCACCTGAGTGGGCGTGGCCCCTCTGTGCGTGTGCGTGTGCGTATGCCCATGCAAATGTGTGTGTGTTGTGTGTGTTATGTGCATGTGTGTGTGGCCAGGGCAAAATCCGCTGATTTTCATTCCAATGCGTCGTGCATTTGATTAACCATCGCAGGCTGCTCGGCAGCTGTCGCCGTCATCTCTCGCCAAATTGAGCATGTTGCGGGATGGAAAAGCGCAGAGAAGTGGGGTGGGCGGGGGTAGGCGGTGGCGGAAAAGCGGGAGAAAACCAGGCGAAAGGCAGGTGGACGAGGTGGGAGGAAATGCACAACCTACAACCTACAATTAAGTACACTAACCAATTGAGTGGTGCTCAATTGTTGGCCAACTGATATGGCAAATTTGGGTTAGGTTGGGATTTGAGGCTTTAAATTGACTACACTGTGAACAAATTTTGCAGATTTATAGGTATTCAAAGAGTTTGAAAAGGTTATTAAAATATTTTTATACTATATAGTTATATTAAAATCAAGACTATCATGTTTTTTGATGGGTAAATATAATTATTTTTTAATATTTCACTAGCTTAAGGCTTATTTATTTAATTTAGTTATGGTTTTATAACCAAATTGCATTCAACAATGAAAAATACTTTAAGTTTTACTCAACTTAAGGAGACAATTTTAAAGATAATCACTGTATTATATCGTATTTGATTGAAATTGTTATTTAAAAAAGCTTTTGTGAAATGACCAACGGGCATACTAAGTCAAGCGATATATATTTTAAATTTCAATAATTATAGTTTACATTAAAATCTTAAAAACAATAAAAGAAATTTGAACAAAAGTACAACCACTTTCAAGGCTTTAAAGAAACCTCTAATTAATCAAAAAATTTAGGACATTGTCATAGCTGCATAATTAAAAAAAAATACATAGAAAATAATGCAACTATGGCACTGTATTAAATTCTTAAAAATTTATAAATATTCTATAAATATCCACAGACAAATGAAAATTATGAAGACCAAAAATAAACTCATACCGCAAATCCCCAACCGCTGCTAATCTCATTCCAAAAATATACAAAATAAGAGTATTTATGTTTTTGCTAATTCCCTTTTCGGTCTTTTCTCTCGTCATGCTCTTTTCGCATTTTTAATTAACGCAGGCAGATCTAAAAAAAAGAAACGCAGAAGAAGAAAAATCCTTCAATGCTAACGCTCTCACTCTTTCTTCTTTCTAGTTTTTCCGGCCAACCCATTTTTCTTCATTACAACTTTTTCGCTGCGGTTGCCAGGGTGGAAAATGCACGAAAAAAAAGGGGCAACGAATTTATTTATGTATTTAAGCGTTACCTGGCAACCCTTCTTTCACCTGTTCGTTATGACAACCCTGTCTAGCTGGTGCCAGAAAAAAACTGTCAGACCTGAGTCAGATAATTTACGATTTTCCAACTGTAAATACGAAAAACTCCGCGAACTCTAAAGTTTTATAAAGATATATCTTTATATATATCTTTCCAAGTATTATTTCTATTGGCATTTAAAATAAGAGAAAGGGATAAGTGCTATGAAGACCCATGGAAAGTATGGAGTAACAGCCATGGCAGCTGCCCAGGCTCTATGCGAGGATGTGAGGAACTTTAGTACCCGTCGAAGGAACATTATGTATCTGATGCATCGTTATCTGGTGGAGAATGGCTTCTATTCCAGTGCCGAGGCCTTGAAATCCGAGGGTAGCCTCTCCGAGGAGTACGAACTGTGCGACAATATCGACTTGGATGGCATGTATCTGGAGTACGCCAGCTTCTTTAACATGAAGTTTGGCAAGTATCCCAAGATACTCAAGAAAGTTGGACCCAAAATCAAGGTGGAAATGGCAGGCAAAGGACAGCCAAAGCAGCAGGAAAAGTCCGAGAAACCAGAGAAGCTAGAAAAGTCATCGACAAAGTCACCAAATGAAGTGGGTTCCCTGGCCAATTGGCACATGGGCGTGGGAGCAGCCAAAGTGGCAGCCTCCGTGAGCCTAAATTCCCAATCTCAATCCAACTCTCAAACGGATAATGTGAATAATCCTTTGCAAATCAGAAAAATGGAGACACCAGTGGAGAACGATAACTTGCCCAAATTGGTGGGTGAAATAGAGCATGGCCACCTGGGCGGAGATGATTCACTGTTCGCCTCCATGGACTGGCAATCGCTGGCCGAGTTGGTCAAGACTTCGATATTGCGAGAGGAGATTAATCTACGTTGGTCCGATGTCTGTGGCAATCAGCGTGCCATTGAGCTAATCAAGGAGGCTGTGATCACGCCCATCGAGTATCCACAGCTCTTTGCCCATGGTCTGAAGCCATGGCGTTCCCTGCTCCTCCATGGACCACCAGGCAGTGGCAAAACCTTTCTGGCCAAGGCTTTGTACTCGGAGACCCGTGGTCAGGTGACATTTTTCAATATCACAGCCAGCATTATGGTGAGCAAGTGGCGTGGTGAATCGGAGAAGATTCTTCGAGTTCTCTTTCACATGGCAGCAAAGAGAGCTCCATCTGTGATCTTTCTGGACGAGATTGAGAGCTTAACCTCCAAGAGGGATCGGGTCACAGATCATGAGAGCTCTAAGCGGTTTAAGAATGAGCTCCTCCAACTTCTTGATGGCATGGAACACACTCTGAAAGGTGTCTTTGTTTTGGCCAGCACCAATTTACCCTGGGACATTGATGAGGCCTTTCTCCGGCGCTTTGAAAAGAAACTACTGGTTCAGTTACCCAATCAGGCAGAGAGAAGCTCCCTCATTGGACGTCTCCTTGGCACCAGCATCTCGATGACACCCAAATTGCTAGAGCATTTGGTGCAAATCTCGGATCAATTTACAGGAGATGAGATACGTCTGGCCTGCAAGGAGGTTAGCATGCATCGTGTACGATGTGCGACCAATAAGGTTCCAGGAGCCTCGAAGGACTCACAGGTCGTGAGTGAGGCCAATGTGGAGAAGGCCTTCAAGATGGTGCGTCCTCTAGGACAAAAGCTATTGGCCAAACATGAGCAATGGCAGCAGGAGAATGGCTCATAATCATTTAACTTACCCTAATTAATTGTGAAATCTAGATTGGTTAATTTTTTTTCGGTATCTTAATAAAAATTAATGGAAAGACTGTTCAAATGAATTTGTTACCTGCCCGTGGTTCGTCTTCTGGCTCCCGCAATTGTCATCCTGGACACATATCTACGTATCCTGCCGCTGGATCTACGCTGAGTATTGCCAGCCACTGCTGATCTTACACTATATTCGGTGGCCGTGGAGCTTCTTCGATCACTGATCATTACATCGGAGCAAAGGGATGAGGATAAAATGGAGGCAGCTGATCTTCGCTTGCCACCGGTGAAGGTGCCACCGCCACTCGATGAGGTTGTAGTGGCGGAGCTATCCGATCGGGAGAATAGAGAAGAGCGTTTACTCCGACTACTTGAGCCTGTCCCGGTGGCATCCTGTATATTGCTATAAAACTCTTCCGTTTCCCGATCATAGGTCTCATCCTCATCATCCTCATCCATGGGATCCACTTCGAACTCTTCACCCTCAGCCTCGGTGGCCATGGTGTCGCTTCTTTGGCTCATTCCTCGCATCCGGTTGCCATTGGACAAGGATGAGGATTGCTGATGCTGTTGCAATTGATAATACTCATGACAGTCACCGCGTGATCCTCGTGATCGACTGCTATTACTCAGATAGCGATATGGAGCCGAACTGGAATTGCTTGTGGTGCTCAAAGAGTGACGTTTTCCACTGGCTGACATTTCCACCAGACCGCCATTGGTAACCTCACCGTTACCACCACCATCGCCATCGCTCTCGCCTCCTCCAACGCTGCCACTAAAGGTGACCTCATGGAATTTGGAGGACTTCCGGCGACTCCTGGAAGCCATGCCCTCGCCATTGCCCAGGGATATGGAGGGACGCGGTCGATTGTTATTATCCCGCTTCTGTTGATCCTGCTGATGTTGATGCTCCTCATCCTCGCCGCCGCCATCTGGCATTAAAGTTAAGGCCAGGGCGGGTCTTCCCCTTTTGCGGCTCCAGGGAAAGGCTCGGATAAATGCAAAGATGATGAACAGAGTGGCAATCATCTCTGGTTGATGTTTATTTTGTATTTCTTTAGTTTAATTATTTTTGTAGGTTTTTTTTAGAGAATTATTCTCTTTGAAAATACCGCACTCATTGTTATATATTTGTTTGGAATTTTTTGTTTTCGATTTCAGTTTCGTTTTCGTTTTAAGTTTTTCGTTTTCGGTTTTGAATTTCGTTTTGGTTTATTATTATAGTTTCATCTGGTTTAATCATTTAATTTAATTCGTTTAATTTTTAAAAGAGACAGCGAGAAAGAGAGGGGAAGAACAGGAGAAGAGCTGAGAGCCGGAAACGGAAGTCCTGCTGACAGGCTCACGTATATACATTATATAAAAAACGGAAGTAGAGTAAGAGAGAAAGGAAAACTAACTAGCTGCAGCTGACAGACACATGTCCCCAAAATGATGGATCAACGGGTCAGTGATGACAGCCAGGAAAAATGGGGAAAATTTAAAAGGAAAACCTAGCACTAATAAGGGAAATGAAAGGTACTTCACGAAGACGAAATTTGTATACCCCTATAGCATGAAATTAAATTTAACTAAGCCAGAAAAGCATTCATTTTTAATATTTTATTATTAATTAATAATTATTTTAAGTGGAATATAAAAACATATATGAATTCTTTAGCATTTTTCTTGATAAATCAAATCTAAAAAAAACCATAACTAAGTCAAAAAAGCATTAATTTCAATTCTGAAAACTGTTCTAAGCTAGGTTTTAAAAACATAATAAATCTGCATACTCAATTTTAATTGTTAAAAAAATCAAAAATTTTGTCAAATTTTTGACAATTTTAACGATGTAACCCCTTATAAAATTTGGAAAAAATTACAGAAAATTTATTTTTCTTTCAACATGTCTAGCAAGATTCGCCTGTTGATGCTGATCAAGAATATATATGGTTTATATAGGTGGAAATGATTTTTTCACTGACTAAAATTATAAAACCCTAAGCAAGGGTATACAAAAATCTATAGAAAATATTGTAACTTCAATATTTCGAATATTTAAATAACAAATAATAGAACTTGGTATAGAAAATGTGGGAACAAATGTCTCAAGCCTTTATTTAAACCGTTTTTTCAACGATTTCCTTAAGTAATCTTTATGATTGAATTAAATATATATTATATTTAAATAAAATCGTCTTTATTGAACACCTTTTCTACCTTAAACTGAACCGATTTAAACACCCGATTTCCTGGATCTACGCTCCATTTACTTTTCAGTTTCATTTTTGCAGCTGTATTGTTTTATCTGTTTGATATAAATAAATACATAGACAGATAAATATATATGTATATATAAACATTCGTTCCTTTCGAATGACTGACTGATGTACTGATGCAAGGATAAACTGCCGGATTGACGAGTGATTTTCTGCACAATTTTGATGGTGCTGCGAGAATATTATGATAATCAATGCACAATTATTGCACACATCTATGGATACACTTGTAAGTACACACACCACACACACACCGAACACACACAATCATAAAACATAAAGGAGATTCGCAAGTGCAGGGCAAACTTTTTTCCTACTTATTTTGTTTCCCACTCGAATAGCATTCTTCTTGCCTTTGATAGGATATATGTACCTCCCTGACCTTCCTGGGCTTCCTTATTTTCTGCCTTGTTAAGGATAGAGAGAAATAGAAATTGCGTAGAGATTGTATAGAAATTGTATAGACAACAACAAACAACAACAACGACAAGAATGGGAAGGCATTAAAGGACCCTCAGAATCCTGTGAGCAGCTTATACCAACTATACTAAACCCAACTATAGTTTCTCTCTCTCTCTCTTTCTCTAAGCCATCCTTTTGCCTCCTTTTGACCCTAAGCTACGAGTAGCCACTTTTTAGTTCAAACCCATAATTGAAATGATTTAACAATGAGAAGGAGGGGGAACTGGACTTAGGTGGGGGCTAAGACAGGACTAAACACACACATAGCCAGAGGTTTAAGCAGGACTTTAGTTAACAAATTTGATTTAGAAACAAAGTAAAGCCAGAGATTGGGGTTAAATATATAAAACTGGGAAGAAGTCTGACCTATAAAGGTTTAGTAGATTTAACAAATAAATATCTAGGAAAGCCTTTTCTATATATTTGTAAAAATAATCAAGTTCTTTAATGGAGAAAATGGAATAAAAGCTTGATTTAAATATCTATATTTTATATAATAAACTAGCATTCTTTTCCTACCTCTCTCTCTCTAAAAAACAAACCCAGAGTTTTCTTAACAAATTTTTAAAGCAACTCAATTGCATTTAATTAAAACTATCAGCAGGCACCAAGTTCAGGAAGCGTAACAAATTCTGATGGAGGACGATCCAACCAAGATGATGATGATGATGAAGCTTGCAGCCAGCCCCCGACCGCCCACTTTTCCACCTGCGGCACACGCACTACTTTTTAATTTGTTCAAATTGCATTAAAAAAAGCTAGCAAGCAAGCAAAAACAGAAAAAAAAACCAAGTAAAACCAAGAAATAAAAACTAGAAATAGCGGCCAGGAAAAACTTGCCACCAAGGAGAAAGGATTGCAGCAATATAGAGAAAGGAAACTGAGAAGAGACCACGGCTGAGAGGGGCAAAAGTGGCATCTAAAGTGAATTAAGCTCAGCAAAAAACGCTTTCTCTATTTATACATAAAGTCTGTGTCAGGACGACTAATGTCCTATGGCATAATTCCAGATGAAAAATCCAAGGTACGACACATAAAGTTCCATTTTAATTAGCCAGAGAGTAGGAAAAGAAGCTTTAATGTTTAGTAAATTAAGATAAAATATACCGAAATCAATTTTAAATAATAAATAAATTGTTTGAGGTATTACAAATGAATTAAAATACAGAATATACATCACAAACATGGATGGGTGGATGGATTTCTATATAAATTGATTTATACATTTTTATCAACTTCCAAAGGTATTATAATTTGAAGGAGTCATTTGCGACCCTATAAATCATATATATTCTTGATCAGCATAAACAGCCATATCGATCTAGACACCTTTCGCAGAAAAAAAAAAATTTCACATTTTTGCAAAATTTTATAAGGGGTTACATCATTAAAATTGTCAAAAAATTTGACAAAATATTAATTTTTTTAAATGTTAATATTGAGTATGCAGATTTGTTATCCTTATAATAAATAACATAGGAAAGCTTTCCGAATTGAAATTAATTAATTTTTAGCTTAGTTATGGGTTTTTAAAACTTTGATTTGTAGACAAAATTGTCATAGAAATAAATCTATAAATATCGCTTCATTGATTTATAATTATTATTGTAATTATTCATTTTGATACATCAAATCCTTTCCCTTCCCTTCAAAGCTCATTTAAATGAACTTCAATTGACTAATCTTTATCTTCGATTGAATATATTTCACATTCAAGGTTATATCCCTTATCTTCTTTGATTTGTAAAGGTCAATTGTTTACCAATTAGTGATCCGATATTCAATCAGGCTAACAAGAGTAGTCTTAAAGCCTTGGCTTTAACATGGCTTTCCACTTAAGTCCACTTAAGTCATTGCATTAGCATTAGCTTTACCGCTAGTTGCAGTTTTCCAGCAGGCCTCCTCTCAGGTGGCCAATTCTGGATCCTGCATTTCCAAGGGTTTTTTCCCCCTATTCTCTTTTTTTCTCTCATTTCTCTGCGCTTTTCTTTAAGTGTTGGCAAACAAGCTGGTAACAGGGCCAAAATGCACCCCTCTCCCCTCTCTCTGTCTCTCTCTCTCCTGCTCTCTTGTAAGTTCTTGGGGAGCGCCTTGGGCACTGTTTGCTACTTTTACAGCGACTGCGCCTGTACACACACCACACGCACGCACAGCTACACACACACACACACAGCCGCTTTACCACACAGACACACTCAAATATTTCCTTTCAATTTTTTTTTCTTTCCCTTAGCTCTGTTGCTTTTTCTGATTTTCTTTTCCAACTAATTCCACATTTTCCTAGGCGCATGCATA